GAATTGACCACCAATATAAGCAAGTACACTGAGCACCGACTACCAGTGAAAGGGGTTACACTAAGTACTGACTTCCAGTTAAGGGGATGTATTGAGCTTTGACCACCAATGTAGGGGGCCATACTGACTACTGCAAGCTGTGCTCTATAACTACATAGTGCTTATCCTATTCCTAGAATCTATGAGCAGATTTCTTTTACTGTTGGGGCTTGGAAGCTTTATGTAAAATTTTCTGGGCCCTGGTCCCACAATAGCTTTAAATCATTAGGCTTGGGTAATGTTTTGCTGTATATGATATGTCACACTGTATGAGATTTTCCTGATCTCATTTTCTACCCACAGGGGCCAATGGGCGCATCAGGTGTTCTTGGTAGCAGGGGAATGGCTGTGAGTATTGTGATCTTATTTATAAAATATAGCTGTAAGGACACAACACAACAACAGACAGGATCAGTTCATACAATGACCAATGTCACCAGCAAAGGCAGATCCAGTTTTTCAACTGGGTATTTCAAGGTTTTCACAGCTCAACTGTATAGCTATAGTGTGGCCATTGGACAGTCTTTACAATCTTAAAGGATAACTTCAGTGTGTATATTCAGTATATAGATATATATATAGTATATTGTTGGCATTGATATTTTTCTGAAAAAGTATTTCACACAAAAAAAGGTATGCACTGCCCATGTTTTTCCCATGAACAAATATAAAACACATGCAAATATGACATAATGTCACACAAAACCCCAAAAATGGGCTGCATTGGCACCCAGTCTTAGTGCACACCCTTTGGTACTGGGCTTCCTTCATCAAATATGACACCTCTCAGAATTTTGGACCCCACCCTTTGCAGCTATAACAGCTTCAACTCTTCCCACTGTTCAATGGGATTTAAGGCTCTGCTGGCCACTTCAACTCTCCAGCGCTTCTTTTCCATTTCTGAGCTTTTTGAGTATGTTTGTGTCATTGTCCTGCTGGAAGACCCAGGATTTGGACGCAAACCCAGCTTTCTGGGCCCCTGACCCAAAATCCTTTGGTAATCCTCAGATTTCATGCCTTTGTGAGGAACCTCCACCATATTTCAGGCATTGATGTAGAATGATGTGCTTTACGAGTCCACAAAGGCCTGGCTCGCAGTCTTTGCTCTAATTCAATTTTGGTTCTCAGGTCCTCAGACAGTTCTCGTCTCCTCTTTCTGTTGTCATGCTTAGTGTGGCACAGACAGACACACATTGTGCTGGCCAATACTTTTGTCCAGCCCATTTTTGGAGGTTTGTGTGACATTATGTCGCATTTGCTTTCTTTTCCTCCCTTTTTTTTTGTTTTGTCCCCAATACACACAAAGGAATTAAACAGTGTATAGCAAAACATTGTAAAGCAAATACGTTTCGTAGAAATAACAGTTCCTGTCCCAAAGGTGTTCTGTCGGGTTGAGGTCAGGACTCTGTGCAGGCCAGTCTAGTTCCTTCACCTTAAACTCACTCATCCATGTCATGGACGTATTGCACAGGTGGCAATCTATCATGGTACCACACTTGAATTCACTCAGCTCCTGAGAGCGACCCATTCTTTCACAAATGTTTGTAGAAGCAGTCTGTATGCCTAGGTGCTTGATTTTATACACCTGTGGCCATGGAGGTGATTGAAAACACCTGAATCCAATGATTTGGAGGAGTGTCCCAATACGTTTGGTAATACAGGTGTACCTCGGTTTATGAACTCCTCGGTTAATGTAATTTTCGGTTTACGAATGAAAATCCATTGAAAATAATGCCTCGGTTTACGAATTTTTTTCGCAATACGAAGTGTATGTCGGTGCCGATTTTTAAATGCAATTAGCGGCTTTTCTTTTTCTTCACTATAGCTCACAGAATTAGCTGTCACTTTCTCAAATGATACTTTGTTTCTTTTATCTTGGGGAAACAAACTAAAAGGAAACATTGTTTCTTTTAACTGGGGGAAATAAACTAAAAGGAAACTTTCTTTCTTTTAGCTAGGGGGAAAGTGACAGATGATTTTCTGCGCTATAGTGAAAAAAAAAAAAGCCGGTAATTATATTTAAAAACTGTTACTGACCTATAGTGACAGTGACTTTTTTTTTTTACTTTTTTCTGACCTCTGGAACGGATGAATTGGTTTTCAATGCATTCCTAAGGGAAACCGCGCTTCGGTTTATGAATTTTTCACAATACGATATGCATTTAATTCGTAAACTGAGGTACACCTGTATAGTGTGTGTGTGTATATGTATATGTGTGTATGTATATATATATATATATATATATATATATATATATATATATATATACACAGTGAGGAACAGAAGTATTTGAACACCCTGTGATTTTGCAAGTTCTCCCACTTAGAAATCATGGAGGGGTCTGAAATTCACATTGTAGGTGCATTCCCACTCTGAGAGACAGAATTTAAAAAAAAATTCAAAAAATCACATTGTATGATTTTTAAAGAATGTATTTGTCTTGCACTGCTGAACATAAGTATTTGAACACCTATGAAACAGCAAGAATTCTGGCTCTAAAAGACCTGTTACTGTGCCTTTAAAAATTCCACCTCTACTCCACTCAATAATCTAACTTAGTAGCACCTGTCTGAGCTCTTTAAAGACACCTGTCCATCCCACAGTCAGTCAGACGCCAACTACTACCATGGGCAAGACCAAAGAGCTGTCAAAAGACACCAGAGACAAAATTGTGGACCTCCACAAGGCTGGAAAGGGCTATGGGGCAATTGCCAAGCAGCTTGGTGAAAATAGATCAACTGTTGGAGCAATTGTTAGAAAATGGAAGAGGCTAAAGATGACTGTCAGTCTCCCACGGACTGGGGCTCCATGCAAGATCTCACCTTGTGGGATATCACTGATAAGAAAGGTGAGGAATCAGCCCAGAACTACAAGGGAGGAGCTGGTCAATGACATGAAGAGAGCTGGGACCACAGTTTCAAAGGTCACTGTCGGTAGAACACTACGTCGTCATGGTTTCAAATCATGCATTGCACGGAAGGTTCCCCTGCTCAAGTCCTCACATGTCCAGGCCCGTCTGAAGTTTGCCAATGACCATCTGGATGATCCAGAGGAGGCATGAGAGAAAGTCATGTGGTCAGATGAGACCAAATAAAACTTTTTGGTCTAAACTTCACTCGCCGTGTTTGGAGGAAAAAGAAGGATGAGTTGCATCCCAAGAACACCATCCCTTCTGTGAAACATGGGGGTGGTAACATCATGCTTTGGGGTGCTTTTCTGTGAAGGGGACAGGACGACTGCACTGTATTAAGGAGAGGATGAATGGGGCCATTTATTGTGAGATTTTGAGCAACAAACTCCTTCCCTCAGTCAGAGCATTGAAGTTGGGTTGTGGCTGGGTCTTCCAACATGACAACGACCCGAAGCACACAGCCAGGATAACCAAGGAGTGGCTCCGTAAGAAGCATATCAAGGTTCTGGAGTGGCCTAGCCAGTCTAAAGACCTAAATCCAATAGAACAACTTTGGAGGGAGCTGAAACTCCGTGTTGCTCAGCGACAGCCCCGAAACCTGACAGATCTAGAGGAGATCTGTGTGGAGGAGTGGGCCAAAATCCCTGTTGCAGTGTGTGCAAACCTGGTCAAGAACTACAGGAAATGTTTGACCTCTGTAATTGCAAACAAAGGCTTCTGTACCAAATATTAACACTGATTTTCTCAGGTGTTCAAATACTTATGTTCAGCAGTGCAAGACAAATACATTCTTTAAAAATCATACAATGTGATTTCCTGAATTTTTTTTTTAATTCTGTCTCTGAGTGGGAATGCACCTACAATGTGAGTTTCAGACCCCTCCATGATTTCTAAGTGGGAGAACTTGCAAAATCGCAGGGTGTTCAAATACTTCTGTTCCTCACTGTATGTCCTGCCATGTCATATTTATCCTTGCCTTCTGTTCTGTCTGACACTCCCCAAACAGGCAGTGTCAGTAGGCTCTTTGAAATCCCCTGTCCTTCTTCCCCAACTCTCTACTGGCTTTGCAGTGAGTGGTTATTGGAGGTAAAAGCCTACAGCCACAAGTGGGAGAACTTGCAAAATCGCAGGGTGTTGAAATACTTCTGTTCCTCACTGTAGTTTCTATAGAAGCCAGTTGATAGCTATTTTTTTTAATCAATCTGCAGATGGCTGTGAGTTTCTAAAACTGTCCAAAAATTTCCTTTTCTTGCAATTATAATACTTGATCTTACAGCAACATTTCCATCTGCTGCTGTTACTGGCTTACTGCATTTGTGCAGACAACATGAGGCCAAATACCTTGAGACATATATTGCACAATCTTTAGTTTACTGCACTGGAAGTTTCATCTTCAACAAATTATCTGCATGTGGTTTTGGGTGTCTACAGGAATGCTGGGCTGTCTTGAGTTCTTATTACAACAATAAGGCTGATTTTGTGGTTATCATATTATTATTATTATTATTATTACTACGAGTTTATATAGCGCCAAAGGGTTTGCTCAGCGCTGTACAATACAATAATATAGGTTGAAGCTTTCAACTAGCACTGAATTAGAAAGATTTTTACAACGATTATTTCAGCATCTATAGAACAAAAGCAGTTGTGCTGTTAAGGGTGTTGCATTTTTCATGACAGTTGTAACACATTTCATTATTAACTTATTCATGTAATTCACATCTATGGTCTGTTGTACTTGCTCTGTAAAACATTTGGGTTTTTTTTTTAAATAAAGTAGATATCACTAAGGGGGCAGTGTTTATGGGGATTCAATAGCAACCAAATTCTTGCTTTAGAATAAAGGCAACTGTAATAATTTGGGGTTGATTTTATTGTAGTCACTCTTTTACTGTTACATGTTTTTTTAAGCTGCTGTTTAGAATCTGTTTGCATTTTAAATACAATCTTTGTTTAACACAAAAACGTGTGAAAAGATTCCCAGAACGTTGTTGATTATCTATTAAAGTGTTACCAAACTTTATCCGTCCCTTCTTCTACTGTCCCCATTCCATCTGCTAATAGGATTTTAGGCTTTGGGATGGTACATGTGATTGGCACAGGGCCAATCAGGACTGTGCAGACAGAGGGTCAGGGGTCCTACAGCCTCACAGGACAATAAGGGGAGACTGAAAACTCCTCCAAAAGCCGTAACCAGTGCTCTGCTGGACACTGAGAGAAGTCACAAGACTGCTCTAACTGCTGATGAGAAAAGGTATTTAGTAGTTTATATTGACTAAAATAATTGCGTTTCCACATTCTGTGTGCTGTGGGAGACCAGATACAGTGAATGCAGGCTCCTGAATCTAGTAACACTTTAAGTCAAAAGAGTACACAACTATTTTGCTTTCAATAATGACATCTATCTTCAATGTATGGGTACTGCTATGGGAAGCAAAATGGCACTGCAATATGCAAACTTATTTATGGATGACCTGGAGGACAAATTCCTGAACATCATACAACGAAAGCCATACAGATACTTTCGCTACATCCTTACATTTTCATCATATGGACAGAAGGTGAAGAAAATCTAAAACAATTTTATTCATTGATCAATACCTTTCACACATCAATAAACCGAAAAATGGATTATTCAAACACACGTCAACTTCCTAGACACTATAGTATACATCAGAGATGACAAGTTGCACACCTCAATACACGAGAAACCCACTGACAGATGCAACTACCTTCACAGTTCCAGTTTTCACCCCCAGCACACTAAATGGGCCATCATGCACAGCCAGGTCATCAGATACCACCGAATATGCTAAGACTCAGAAGACTCAGAAGACAGAGTTAAACATCTCAGAACAGTTGCAGACTGCTTCCATAAGAAAGGTTACAAGGAAACAAACCATCAACACCAGCATAAACGCGGCCTTTGTTGTTTTTTTTTTTGGGGGGGGGGGTTCTCCCTCAGAGACTGTCTTTTAAAAAACATTCTGCTAAAACTTTGTGAATTAGTACTGCTTGGAGCTTGAAGAAGGGGACATACTCCAAAAACTTGTCCTGAAAATTGTATATTGTACAAATTAAAAAAAAGTATCATGGACAGTGCCCAATTGTTTCTGTCTCAAGTGCACTTATTTGGCTACAGTCAACAAAGCATTAATCATCTTCAACAGATTGGTAGTCACTGACACCTTGTGCTGAGTTGTCTGATAAGAGAGGCATAGCTGTGTGTACTGCATCACCTTGTTTAAATATTTCAGATTTAGCTATTGAGTTCCATCTGTCTGTTTTTGGCATACAGGATAGGCCCGGAAGCTGGCGCGTGTCAGTGGACACTTGTCCGCTGACACCCACCGGTCCATAGTGGTCTATAGATGGTCCGATCGGGACCGCCTGAACAACTGATAGGCGGACACGATCGGACTGTTAGTGTGAAAGAAAAGAGAATGAAATTCATTAATACATTACATCAACTATTACATTTCTTCATTTGGTTTCTGTCCTAAGCTAAAATTATGTCATACATCTCATTAGTCTTCATGGGCATTTTTTAATCTTTCTTCTGGAGGAGGGGAGAATGAGCTTTCCCAGCACACCTTCCTACCTGCATGCCTAAGCTATGGGCAGATGGATTCCAGGAAGCAATGCTACATTATTTGCCCTTACTCCTGATGGCTGCTAGAAATGCTAGGGGATGTTTTTCAAAGCTATTTCTCAACAAAAAAAGGCATGGAGACATGGATGAATGGTTTGCTTTGAATATTAAAAATTAATTAAATAGCTTTTTACGTTTGTGGTGCTCAGACACAGTTAAGTTCCACTTTAAGAAATTATATACCCCATACCTTTTTTACTATTGAAAAAAAAGTTCAGTCATTTGTAATAGTTTGCAGTTTTATGACCTCCCTCTTGTGATTTTCAATCACTGTAATATTTAGTGTGTGGTATTCATAAATTTTACCCTTTTTTATTTAGGGTCCAGCGGGTCCTCGCGGTGAGATTGGCAGGGACGGACCACCTGGACCACCCGTAAGTAACATTGTGAAAAGACTTTAAAATGAAATTTCACAAAAATTTCAAAATGCTGGGAGCTTGACACAGGTGTATTTGCTGTGGTGCCAAAACAAATGTAAATTAATATTTAAAGTCATAAAATCGCCCTTTAACACTTCACATGACCATAACAGTTATTAGATTGAAGTATAAAGTTTACACATTTTCAAATTGATGTTAATATTTTTACTATTCATATCTGATTTATTGATTGATTGATTGATTGATTTTAAATAAAAAATAATTTAATTCATGACAAAATTTAAAAAACCACCATGGGTTACCTAATAAGAGCTTGTCAGATGATGTTTGCTTTGAGCCTTTGTTTGTCTGATTGAAGCCTTCCCAGAGAAAAATAAAAATTGCAGTAGCTAAGAGCTCCACCTGCTAGCTGTATAAAAGACTAGATAATTTGCAAATTAGCCTGACAAAAATAAATAAATGAAAACAAAAATATTTATTTTTATTTTGGGACCGTTGGATGGCTGATTCCTTTGTGGTTCTTTCCTCTAGCCCCATTTCACTACTGTGTGCTGCAGTGAAGTAGGGGCTTGCTATTAGAACACTGCAATGCCAAGGAATGACACCCCCGGAAGTGTCAAACACAAAGACGTTTCCAGAAATAATTTCTTCTCGAAACAGCAAAGTTCAGTGGTTCGGCACAGGTAAGTATAAATTGCTTGCTTTGCAGGGTGTGCTTCTTTTTTCAGCACGGTTATGGCAAGAGATTAACAGTGCTGACTACTTAAAATATTGATTTGTTTACTCACTAGTATGTGGAAAAATGAAGACCATCACCCTGAGGGCTATAAACCCTCCCACACCAATCCTGCTCAGTTTAGAAAGCAGTCCAAATTGAGAACAATAGCATATGAAGAGAGGGAGCTGTGTCTCTTAATGAGTTCAGAGTAAATATTTTATGGCGAGTACAAAAATCCAATTTTCTCTATTGTTCATTGAAGGACACATCTTGATATTAAGAAACCTAGAGATGTCCAATAGCAGAGCAAACAATGGGGTGGGCACACCCAAACAACAGAGGTGAGCCAGCTCAAGAAGAAAACATCAAAACAAACAGGAAAACAAGGGAATTAAATAGCAGCTTGTAGAACCTTTTGACTGCAGCTATCATCTGTGGAGGGAGAAACACCAACCCTTAAAACCTAGAGAAAATATATACAGGATGCCAGGTCTCAGGTGTACGAATCAATGACACTAAGGCCTGGTGACAAATAGCCCAAGAAACACTCCCTGTCCTAGTGGAGTGTGTTTTGTCTTTCAATATTTTTACTGAAAAATTGGTATACACAGAAATAGAAACATTGCCCACCTACATGGTGAGTTGGGGTGAATAAACATAATCATAAAATATAGAGGCACGTGAGAAAACATTAGTCGATGATGTTGTAAACAGGAAAACACCATCTCCACTGGGTAGCAAATGTTCCATCAGTCAGTAAACATAGGTAGTTCCATATAGATATTTACCAACAATAAGAAAACAAAAAAAAAGATTAGAAATAGAAGAATCGAAAGAAAAGATCCAGGATAGGTCAGAAAAGAAGGGGAGAAGGAAACAAAAAGAAAAAAAAAGGTGAAAAGGAAAAAGGGGAGAGAGAGGGTCAGCCGTAGTACTATTAAGTAATAGAGATATATCTGATCCATGGTTCCCGCGTCACCTCAAACTTAGAAGTATCATTATTGACAATGCTCGTAAGTTTATCATTTAGTGGAGTGTGTTTTAATAAGAACACAGAGCATCAGAGGTCTGCACAAAAGCCTGTCAACTCCACTTAGAAATAGTGGATTTGGTAGCTGGAGGGACCTTCTGGAATGGCAAAAAAGGAATCAGTCTGCCTAAAAGAAGCAGTGCCAGAAAGGTAAATCCTGATGGTTTTCAACCCATCCAGGCAATGGAAGGATATATTCTTGGTATGGACAAATGCCATACCTAGGGAAGGTAACACAATAACTTTATTAATGTAAAAAAAGCAGAAACCTACCTTGTATAAAAAGGAGGTTCTTGGTCTCAAAACAACGTTCTTTCTATGCAAACTCAAATGAGGCTCCCAATGCCGATTTCTAAGAAACCATTCAGGCCAAAGTGATGGGCAGAAGAAAGGCCACCTTATGAGATAATATCCTCAAGAAGATATCCAAATAAACTATATTGCCAAAAGTACTGGGATACCTGCCTTTAATGTACACACACACATGAACTTTAATGGCATCCCAGTCTTATTCCATAGGGTTCAATATTGAGTTGGCCCACCTTTTGTAGCTATAACAGCTTCGACTCTTCTGGGAAGGCTGTCCACAAGGTTTAGGAGTGTGTCTATGGGAATGTTTGACCATTCTTCCAGAAGCACATTTGTGAGGTCAGGCACTGATGTCGGACAAAGAACCAGCAAACACAAATGCTCCTGCGCTTGGGGATGGACTCGATGCTACAACCACATTAAGAATGTCCTGGAACATGCACACCTTGCTGCCCTCAAATGGACCGGGGGAATCCAAATATACTGAATGGGGAAAGAACAAAAAGAGGGCGCACAGGCCTAGTGCATTACCATAAAAAATGTTTAATAAAAAATAAAGTAGGTGTTGTACTCACAAACGACAATATAGTCAAGGCACATCATAGAAGAACAGCTGGATCAACACCGCGCTGAGTAACAGTCCACAATAGGGAGTTTAGACATCCAAAAGGCTGACGCGTTTCGAGGACTTGCCTCTTCCTCAGAGCCACTGATGTCGGACAAGAAGGCTTGGCTCTCAATCTCCACTCTAATTCATCCCAAAGGTGTTCTATCGGGGTGAGGTCAGAAATTTGTGCAGGCCAGTCAAGCTCCTCCACCCCAAACTCGCTCATCCATATCTTTATGGACCTTGCTTTGTACACTGGTACACAGTCATGTTGGAACAGGAAGGGGCCATCCCCAAACTGTTCCCACAAAGTTGGGAGCATGAAATTGTCCAAAATGTCTTGCTGTATGCTGACTCCTTGAGAGTTCCTTTCACTGTAGCTAAGGGGCCAAGCCCAAGCCCTGAAAAACAACCCCACACCATAATCCCCCCTCCACCAAACTTTACACTTGGAACAATGTAGTCAGGCAAGTACCGTTCTCCTGGCAACCGCCAAACCCATACACGTCCATTGGATTGCCAGACAAAGAAGCGTGATTGGTCACTCCAGAGAACACATCTAGACTGCTCTAGAGTCCAGTGGCGGCATGCTTTACATCACTGCAACCAACACTTTGCATTGCATTTGGTGATGTAAGGCTTG